TGTAAAAATAAAAAACATCAGATAAACTATTTATCCTTTTATATGCTCTTCAAATCGGATGTATATATGAAATGAAAATGTCCATATTTTTAAAGGAAAGAACCCCGGAGATGGCTTGATATACCTTTAAATAAATGAGATGTCTGTGAGTTTGACGGCTTTTTTAATTTTGTGATTTTAGGTTCTAGCTGTCATATTTTGAAAAGTCCCAATTTTTATTGTCAGTTCCTTTTCTCATTCTGTCATCTCTATCGCATGAAAGAGTTGGAAATAAGCACAGTAGCACCAATGTGTTCGTGCATGATTTACTTTGAACATAAAGTAGCAATAGGATAATACAGGGTGTATAAAAAAAAACACTGCACAGATTTGAAATTGCTCTTAAATTCGCAAAACAGCTATTAGTATCCAGTTTTTGATGTATTTAGCTTCTTTGGGTACTTATAATGTAGAAAAATGGAAAAATAATTCGAACTCAAATTTTGTAAACTAGGGTGTGTGTCTTTTCCAACACACTAAAAATGGCTTACGGACGAAATTTAAAAGCTTTAATCATATTTTAAGTTGATAAATGGAACATTTGTTGGGTTTTTAATTACTGTACAAAATTTCAGACAATTTGCTTTAGTTTAAGACCTTTAACTATTCATTTTTCTCTAAAAAAATAGCCTTTCGCATGCTTAATTATATTGTGCCTTTACCTAATATATTTGCATATTGCTGACATATGCAAATTAGGCAAAGGCTTTTAAATTTCGTTCGCAAGCCATTTTTAATTTGTTGGAAAAGACACACCCCCTGGTTCACAAAATTTGAGTTCGAGAAATTTTTTCCATTTTTCTACATTACAAGTACCCAAAGAAGATATATACATAAAAAACTGGATACTAATAGCTGTTTTTCGAATTTAAGAGCATTTCAAATCTGCGCGGTTTTTTTTATACACCTTGTATAATTAATTTTGAGAAAAGTCAATCATGCCATTTCTCTTAAAACAGAAAAAAATATGGTTTTCTTAATTTGAATAAGATTTTCTTGGAATTATCAAATTTTAAAATTTTTTCTTTCCGAGAGCGAAAAGTGCACATTTCTTCGTATACAAATTTGTGCTCTAGTGAACTCGTTTTAAAGATATGTTGTATTTATTGTGTTTATTTGCTGTGAGCTCCACATAGATTTCAAGGGCAAACTCTATATAGTCCAAAACGTGAAGCCAGTGATAGATCGATCTAGAACTATAAGATATCAGTTTCAGCCCATTTTCTATTGTTCCTGGCTGTGACAAGGAGTGCGCCGAATTTTTTTTGCTTCGATTTAAGGGATAATACTATATGCTTTTATGAACTGCATGATAACTTGATTAGCGAACTGATAACTTGATTATAGCGTTATAAATAGATAAAACTGTGTTCGATCTTCATAGGTAGTGGACGTCATTCCAACCATCCTGGCTTCATTCTTATAGGCCGAATAACTGAAGTAACCTCGTTCCCAGGTTCTTACCTCTGATGGTGATAAATATTTGACCAGCTACTACCAGTGTCTTTCCTCTTCAAGAGTTAAGAGCCTGGGAACGAGATTGATAACTGAAGTTCTTGCTCCAGCTATATATAGAGCTCACTGTATGAGGTCACTCGATCTTTCAGTGGGAAATACAAATCAGTAAGTTGCGCAGCTTGAACCTTGTTTTGTACAAACATTGTTACCTTCAACCATAAATGTCATAGAGAGGGCCATCGATTATATTTATGCGTTATATGCATGAGTGTGTAAATTTTGAGTTTTGAAGGAAATAACACCAAGAAAGACTTGCAATATCCAAATTAATTAATATTCGCCTGATTTTTTCCTCAATATTTCACTTTGTCTTTGAAAAGTATGCTTTTGCTTGATTGTGGCAAGTAATTCTCACGCGGAGAATACAACTTGACCCTACACTCGTTCGCAGGGCCTTCCGCCTTCATAGGCCCTGCGATACGCGGAACCGGAAGTGCAAGAAAATGTGCAGTAGTTTCTAAAGCGCATACTCTTGAATTGGGACGATTTATAGCACCGATAACAATTTTCACAGATAAATATTACGTATTAATTAATTAAGAAACAAAGTAATTGTGTTGAGAGATTTTGATAGAATAATTTTGAATAAACTACTCAATTTCTGGGAAACAGCAGTTCTGTAAGATCTCTCTCTTCAGTCGTCTAACCAAGAACCTAATTATTAACAAGTGACCGAGTAAATATGGCTCTGGGGACGAGAATGAACTTGACCCATGTATCACACAGATTCAGCATTAGCCCCTATCACTAATTTTCTGTATTTTTCGCCGATCATTTTTGGGTGTCACAAACATACGTGACATCTTTCCAAAAAATTGTGGACTGACCTACTCAGTTCAGCATCAAACTGGCGGCCATTCATTGAGTGGGCTATATATTTTCAAACAATTGCGCTCGTTCAAAGAATTGTTTTGTTTGCACTCTGTCTCTGGACTTTTCTTTCCTGTTTGAATTAATACGTTTTTAAGCGTATCGTTTCCTATTGCTCTAAATGTTTGATCGTATCACGTAAAAATTAATAAATATAGTCGCGTGATTATGGATGAGGGGAGTGGGGTGGAAGGGGGTATTTACCAGATACAAATCTTTGTTTCTACTATATCGTGCGGAATGAATTTCCCAATCGCATCCAGCACACAATATTGTAATTAATTTCTGCGCAAATAGTTTCCTGTAAATTTTTAAAAAATGAAAACGTCAGCATCATGAGAGATACCTAGCCACCAGTTATCTCTCGCCTTGTCAAGGATAAAATTAAATGTTGTTAAAACGGTATTTTACCTGCTTCGGTAGTTGTCATATAGACGTATCTACCTTGTCCAGAAGTACAATTGTAAGCCCAAAGCCGTCGAACCTTGTCCACTTTCGGATCTCCTACTACATTGAGAATAATATTCTATATAAATTTATCTACTTGTATTCTTGTCAACCTAACCCGTTTTAAAAGAATATAAAGGTGGCTCGTCACATTAAATCAATAAATAATAATTAAATAGATAAACAAAAAAATAATTAAACTAAACAGAAAAGCCTAATTTTGTTAAAACGTGGGTACTCCATTTAAGATTTGTTTGGTATAGATGCGCACCATAGAAATAATAGATATAGAATGCGTACTTGATCACGAATCGTGCCCATATAAATCCGCCATGTTAAATTTGACTAGGAGTGCAAACAACAAAATATAAACAAAGCTAAAACTACGTTTTCATCGTCAAAACGTCCTGTTGTCTAATTTGTAGTTTGGGGAATGATTTTGAGTTCTTTGAAGGCACAAATTGTGAAAGCAAATGTGCAGTTGCAAAAACGGTGAAAATCGTGCAGCCTTGTAAAAACAAAGTAGTTTTGCGCAAATATAATTTACTCACATAAAACATTTTTGCATGTCCTGAACGTCACTACTGTCAAAGACTGTTTTACTAATACTCTTATTAGATTACAAAATGACAGTTCTTCCTTCGTCGGGCTTCGTTTTTCTTCAATGTAAACGAAGTGTTTTCATGCATGTCCTTCAAACAAAAATATTTAGTTGTCGATAAACTGTAGGCTAAATATTTTATTAAAATAATCATCGAAAACTATGGTTTCAAAGCGTTGCCTCAAGCTCAAACAACGTAGAAAAATATGAAAAGTAACTGTGTAAGATTAAAATGATTATTGAACTCCATTTATATTATAAAAGATGTGAAATATTTGTAGAACATACGTATTGAGTTTGAGATTGTCTTGATCTTTCGTGTTTTGTTTTGGCTTGCACAACAACGTCGAAAATTTATTTTTAAACGACGATTTCTGACTATGTTCTTTTCAAAACTGTAGCTTTTCGTAAAAAAGCCCACTGGAATGGGTTTTTAGACATTTTTCTGCTTTATAAAACTTTTTTTCCATTTTAAGTCTCGATATAAAATTTTTTGCAAACTTTGCAGTTGAAAAAACAATTTGCACTCAGTGCAACCGCATGAAATTCCTTGCCTCAGGAGTCTGAGATGAACCAAAATGCCCTTATAAATCCGCCATTTTATGGAAACAAATTTTTTACTGAGAAATGATAGGAGTATACGCATTCTATATTTATTATTTCTATGGTGCGTACCAAGGCACTTCGTACTCATCAGAGATTTTAGGGTTTTCCATGTAGCTAGTGTATTGTCATGCACAATATATCAGTGAATAATCAATTACGGGTGATTCGGACTTCGCATTTAGGTAAATACATCCGAGAATTTTTGGGTATTTCACTCAAAATATCGATCTGAAACAAAATAAGTCGCGAAGGTACTGTGGAAATTTTTTGACACAAGCACACGAAATTCAAAATGTCAACAGAGTCTAAACAAACATACCTCCGTGACGTCTAAAGTGACTGCATATCGCTTCCATGATCTACGAATGCAAAACGTATATTATTTATATTTCATTAACATGATATAAATTTTGTCCAGAATTGACAAACACTGAAGAATAATACTCAACAGAATCTTTGGTACAGCCACGGGCTTTAGGACAAATTCAATTCGACAACAATAGCATTCTATCTAAATAGCAGTTAAAATAAAGTGTACGGCACTTGAACTGTTCAATATCTTGCTTCTGTATCCATAAAGCATTTACATATATGCAAATGTTCTATATTTTCAAAATCCGCCATATTTATTTACATTAGAACCCAAGCTTTCGCCGTTTCGCGGTTCACACGAAATATTACGTCGGTGATTTTCACTAATAATAAGAGGATAGGATCATCCAATTGTTCAATCGTTTGAAGCGTGAGGAAACCATGCTTCCATATATGGCACAAACGTGTCCCCAACTTCCTTATATGGCACAAACGTGTCCCAAAAATTATTTTATCGAAGCCGTTATGATGTCATAAGATTCCTCCCGCTCGGAACGATTTGAATAGGCCACGTGGTACAGAACCCAGACAGCTGATTGGGTTAGCGAGTGACAACGCCCACTTTAATCCTACCCTCTTATTATTAGTGAAAATCACCGACGTTAATATTTCGTGCGAACCATGAAAGCTTGGGTTCTAATGTAAATAAATATGGCGGATTTTGAAAATATACAGCATTTGCATATATGTAAATGTTTTATGGATATAGAAGCAAGATATTGAACAGTTCAGGTGCCGTACACTTTATTTTAACTGCTATTTAGATAGAATACTATTGTTGTCGAATTGAATTTGTCCTAAAGCCCGTGGTATAGCATGGGCCAGTGTGTTGTTATTATTAAGTTGCGCGCAAGATATATACCAACAAGCTGTACACAGAGTCTAACAGAGAAATTCGGGGGGTCGGGGCAAATATTTAATTCGGGGGGATTTTTCCGGACATTTCAAAAACAAAGGTTCAAAAACGTTTTCCGGACAAACACCAGTAAAACAAGGTTAAAAAAAATTTTCTGGAGAAATGCCTGTAAATCACGGGTAAAACACATTTTTTTCGGACCGATACCAGTAAATTAAGGTCTAAAAAAGTTTTATCATTCCAATCAGACTGTTTCAAAGCAAATAGAATTCTAACTTTAACTAAAGGAGTGAAGGGAAATACTGGCATTGGGAACAATTTCAATGGTCCAAACGTACACTGCCAAAGTTAGAATTACAAAGTACACGATTGTACAATCTTGACCTTGGCAATGTGTCAGCAATTGAAATTAACCGCTCTTTGTGTACAAACTACAAACTCATGTGTGAAAAATATTGCCGCTCGCATGCACCGTATACACAAAACACGGACGATTAATTTCGTCAAAAATAGCCTATTCGTTTCGACTCTCACTAAAAGTTAAACCATTAAAGATGTATACAACACATACTAGCTGATACAAATGACGAAACTGCATATTTAGTCAGGTAATATAAAATATATAGTAGCTGAGTTCTAGACGACTAACGGTCTATTAACACATAATGCATACATGGTCTCAGGTTATAAACATGGTAATGGTAAATGGAACAGCGAGGCAACACTGCAATTTCATTATAAGCTATAGGAACAGAACATACGAAAATACAAACCATACATGCAGGACAGGATGAAAATTGGACACACGTTATCAGTAGTGTCATGTAACGAAGTAAATGTACTTCGTTACTGTACTTGAGTATTAGTTTTGAGAAGTGAGCATGTAACAAAGTAAACTTTTTCTACAGTACTTTTACTTGGAACGAAGTTGTCTTAAGAAATAACGTTTTACTTCGTTATTTTCATTTTGTGGCGAAGAATTTCGTTACGTTTTAACTCTTGTTTAATTTTACGTGATTTATTCTTGATTTGTTTTAAATTTGGGATAAGTAATAGGACCTCTACATGAGTCTGGGATCTCTCGTTTGTGGCTTACTTGTAAGTATTATTTATTTAATGGACTTCTTATATTTTCAATGGGGTCTGAAAAGTGGACCATGCTGTGAAATATTGTATGTTTTGTGTCTTTTGTATGTAAATTCATTGGAGAAGTTCCCACCCCCCTTCTCGCTAAAGACAATAGTACTTTTACTTTTACTTTGTACTTCAAGTATTTTTAAGGGGACTTTGTACTTTTTACTTAAGTACGTTTTGCCTCCAGTACTTTTTACTCTTACTCAAGTCGTTTTATTGTTAATTACTTCTACTTTTACTCAAGTACAAATTCAAAGTAATTTAGGCACCACTGCACGTTATGCAGTCGAACGTCATACTTTATAGATGTACATTTCGAAATAAATGACATACTTTCTTTAGATAAAGATTAAAGGTGAATACTGGTATAGCGGTTTAATTTATTTTAATGACGTAACACAGGAGAATGTTAACTTATTTTTAAAGTCAAAAGACCAAAACAAAGGCAAAGGATACGATTTTGCCCTCTGGGCAGACGGGTTGACACTGTGATAGCAATTCAAGTTAATCCGCTCTTTGTTTACAAACTGTTGTATGTAAAAATGTAGGAAAAGTACAACATTAATTACGAAATATGGATGACATGACTGCAAAAAACTATCCTTGTTTGCCTTCGCCTATATCTTGCAAAAAAACTATCCTTGTTTAACAGGTGGGCAATTTGTCGACGCTGACCAAATATGCAAATATATCAGCTCATTTCTTCTTGAGTTGCCATTTTCGCGTCGAAGAGCAAAAATACAGACTTTCGGAGAATATTTTAGCTGTTTACTATCAAATATGTTTGTGAAACAGTTGATAATCTCACTGAGGAAGGCCAGCGGTTTCTGAAAAGCTAAAGTACGTCGAAATCAGCGTTGGAAGTCTATATAGTCTACTATATTTTCACCGGGGAAACATGAACTAAAATGGATATTTACACCAACACTAAATTTCGGATATTTACACCAACACTAATTTTCAAGTTAGGAAGTAAGTGAAAATGTGAATTTTGTGAATTATACTTTCATTAAAATGTTTCAAAAGGGCTGCTAATGTCAAACTACACGTGTGACAGTGCTGTCAGTATACCCATATTTCAATGTTTATGTTGAAATGGCCCATCTTCTTTGAGGTATAGCTTAAAAATTAGGGTATGCTCATCATTTGAAACTAGCTTTTAATAAAAGTTTTATCTATAGTCTTCCTATTAGAATTGAAATCATTCATGGGGAAAATGTGCCAGAGGGTTGAAATTGCCCTTGTAAATGTACACTATTTTTGATATGCTTGGGTTGGTATTTTGAAAATGAGTTTTGGAAAGATAACATGTCTTGAACAATACTGGTTGACCCTTGAATTATAGAAAAAGTCTGGTCCATACACAATAGTTTGGATTCTATGAAGTTCCGAATGCAACTTATTTCAATGTTTAAACTGTTTACCTGGAAAAACATAGAAATTTGAATAAGTCAAGAATTTGACAATGCTCATCACTCAAAACCAGGTTTTTCTAATTCTTTTTTCACCTGGGTTTGTGGCAATACCAGTTATGCGACCATGAAAAATGCGCGCGGCACTTTTTTTGGACACTGAAGATGACAACATTAATACATTTGATGTTGTTATCTATTGCCATCCTCTTATCATAGTATAACTTAACTTATTTTAGTGAGTTTTGTTAAAGAATTGTGCTCACTATATGCCTGTAGAACCTAAGATTTTTTTCATAGTATTAGATGATAAATTTAAGTTCTGTTTTCTTTTATTTTTAGGTGATAGTATCTGTTCACATATGCATGTGTGTTGGTATCAAATTTTGAACAAGATTAAATTATTATTTCACATTCCTTTACTGAAATATCCAAATAAATGGAATATGACATCAAGCTGGAGGACTAAATCCTGTTTCCAAACTTGTTTTTGTAAAAATAGAAAATAAAAACTTATTATGTGCTGTTCTAATAAAAACTATTGTTTGTGATATGCATATTTAATTTTTGAAATTACATTTCATTCTTTGTTAAAATGTGCACCAGGAATACTGACATCTTTCAGATAAGCTAACAATACCTTTGTAACTTATATAGCCAAGTGTTCTATCTATTTCTGTTCAGATTAAACAAATGATGGGTAAAATATTAGATTAGATTTTTGCCAAAAAATGAGCTTGCCTGTTCTCAAAGCATAAAAAGCATTAAAATAAAGCAAAAGTACTTATTTTCAATTTAAAACCTTTGGAATGCATAGCTTAATGTTTTCCACTAAATATTACAAAGTTTTCGTTCATTAAAATGTTGTTTTATCAGCTGCTTTAAAACCAGATAAATTCACGAAACACTCCTAATATATGTCGCCATATTGATTTTCTTCGCGCATGCTCAGACAAATTGCCCACCTGTTACCTTGTTTGCCTTCAACCTCGTACCCAGGATCTTTCTTTCGGAAAGACCACTGAGCTTTACTAAATTACTGGAGGAGGTGCTCCTATCTCTCGTCAGTCAAAAAAGTGTCGCCAAAAACATGGCGGATTTTCACGTTTGCTGACGCCATATGGTTCCTCCGGCTCATGGCATTTACCACTGACCAACCGCGATCCTAAGCATCCGACAAAGGCCTTCGCCCCCCTATTTTTGCACAAATATTTTATGTTTTCAAGACAAGATCATGCCGTTTTTCTCCGCTTGTGGATGCAAAAATTCGCTGTAAAGACTTTAAAAGGAAGAATATTTCTTCTGAAAGGTAAGATTTGTGAAAATTTTACGTTTTTACCTTTTATTCGACTAATTCTCGATTGGCAAAGTCAGGGGCCGATATGCGTATAAAATCGAGGTATAAATATGTATTTGTCGAACACTTATATTTTATATTTACACCAATATTTCTGGAGCAGACATAAAAAATGTTGTACATGGTTATTTACACATTGTGTTCATACATTTTGTTTCTAGTTTCAGGCACTGGCTTTTGTTTTTGTTTTTAGTGCCAGTTTATTAGTTTAAACAGCAGCTCATGTAATCTGTACTTTGCTTTTGTTTCATAAAGAGCAGTTAGCACTAGATTATATACAGTATAAACAAGCTGTATTGTATCCTTCACAAATATTATAAACTGCTAGTCTTGCTACTTGCTAGGTTTTGTATCAGCATTTACCAATTGGCTGTGTAGTTAGGCTTTTTTTGTGGTGTTGTGCACTACATTTCAGTCAGCATTGAGCTACCATCGACTTGTGCATACCCAAATTTGCATGATTTATACTTATATCATTCTTGCTTTGGAATTACCTTGAATGCTAGTATGGGTCAACCTCTATATATGCCTCATAAAAATCTCCAAACAACGAACCTCCTTCACTCAGAAAATACCTCTGTCATGGGAGTCTTGATTTATGTTTAGACAAGAAAGCCATATTTATTTAGGTCCCTTAGAGGTTAACCCATTGAGTTGCATTGCAACCTACTTTATTATTTTACTCTGTCTGATGCCAGATGATTTTACTCATCAGGTAGAGAGTGCTGGTGCTTAATGGTTAATATATAACTAGTCTATGTGTCTAGTTATGAGTTTATGTGTCTAGTTATGAGTCGCTTTGCCCCCTGATGCGGCCTACTTTATCACTTTACTCTGTATAATGCCAGATTATTTTACTCTGTCTAACACCAGATAATTTTACTCATCAATTGGGGAGATCGATGGCACTTAATGGGTTAATTCAGATTTATACAAGATTAGTGGTGCACCAGAGCTAACAGTTCCAATCCAGCCTGCCAGAGCTGTAACTTGCAAAGTAGGGGTGATGCCAGAAATTTTGAAATGTACATGAAACAGTTTCACACCATAGAATAAAACAATCATAAACAAAGTAACTTTATTTCTCATTTCTATTACAGGCATCAAAGTGATATACAAGAACTGAAGCAAAAATGTTCTTGCTGTTAACAGCTGTATTGTATCATGATATAGTTAACATTGATGTGTATATCTTATTTGGGTGTAACAATGTGTAGAAATACAGTGTCTGTAGTAGTAATCTGTTATCGCTACTAAAAGAAAATTGAAAAGAGATAAACATGCCAAACAGCCAAAGTGATGTTACAGCTCATGGGACTACAAAGTGATAATTATACCAGAATAACTTGATTATACAGTTACTTCAAAATGATTGGGTCATTCAAGAAAATATCCACACCTCTAATGGAAGAGATGGGAGGTTCAGCTTCCTCCCACTTTTGGACACGCTTAGCTAATACTTTTACTATTATCAGCAGTTGAGTTCTGCCCACTTCAGACAGCACCATCTGCCATACTGTACTTTCATGTCATTATAAAATCAGTCCCCAGGGTCAAATTAAGATAATTTGATATTTGTAAAATGCACAGCTTCGTGCCACCTACAGAAAATATAGTATTATGAAATACAAACTACAGGCTTATTCAAAACATCATAAAATATGCAACAAATAGAGCATGTTAAACAGTAGATCAAAATACCATTTTGCTCACGATTTAAATGAAACGAAAGTTGATTACTTTGTACAACAAGGCTTTAGAGGGCTTTACATACTTGTGGCTAAAATATAATACATTGTACCACAGTTAAACCCAACAATTTTTGTAGAAAATTTGCTCGAGTGTGTGAAGTTATGAACTGAGAAATATTTTACCTGTAGTTGCGGCTTGAAATGTCGTCTTTGCGGATGTATTTCGAGGTTTTCTGTCTCTTGAGGACGAGAATATAATGTGTACGACTTGCACACATTTGAACTAGTGGTCAAAGGTCCAAAAAATATGAAAAAATCAAAAACTACGAAAATATACTGCAAAGACTTCAACAAGCTAAAATATTTTAATAAGAACCATGGGGGTGTGAAAGTCGTAGCGGGCTCAAAATTGAGCCTGGTCAGTGGTAATTACCATGAGCCGGAGGAACCATATGGCGTCATTCTGGCGTCAGCAAAGGCCGAAATCCGCCATGTTTTTGGCGACACTTTTTAATGCCGAGCAGGTCCTCCAGTAATATAGTATAGCTCAGTGGGAAAGACCCTGGCTGCGGCTGGTCACGTGCCTCGTCAAAAATTTAGCGCCTGAGGGGGTATATTAATAATATAATACTGGAATATTCGTTAAAAACATAAATTTTGCGAATTATTACGTTCAAAATACTTGCTAATTTTTGTTTATTTTCTTTGCTTCGAATTTACAAGAACATTCTTACTTACAGTCAAGTCAAGAAACCAAGCAAATGCATGCTCTCTTCACACTCGAGCGCGGTTTATATAACAAACGTTTATTGTAATGTTTTTAAAATAGGCCATTACATTTGTCCTTTCTTGTAAACGTTGATACGCTTTGCACCGATTCACTTGTTACTACGCGTCTCTTTCATAAGATTTTTAATTAAAGGAAACAGTATTGTCCAGGACTGGCCCAAATATTACAGTAGAAATGTAAACATTTGATAATAGCCGAACAGAGAAATGTCCATAAGCAGAGAGGAAATTTCAGTCATTGATTTATCTGGATTTAGTCAGATAATTCGTATTCGGTAATTATAGTAAGATTTTAGCCTTTTTCTTCGTCCTATTATAATCTTATATTGTGTTAATATACTATAATCTATATCACAAATTTACAGTGTCAGATGCGCACAGACCGTCATCTGGCGTCATACGTGGTAAGGACGCATGACAGGGAGACAAATTGCGACACGCAAGGAGAATTCCCTTTAATTTAATTCTAAAAGTCACAAATTTACAAAGATATAACATGCACATTCCGATCATATTTTTACAATACCAAAGACAATATAATAGTAAAATGTTCGCTAAAATCGACTGTAAAGATAGCTAATAAAACAAATAACACTGAAGACTTTTCACGGAACTATAAAACTATAAAATAGTACCTGAAGGGTGGATCTCCTCACGGTCTAACTCTCTATAAAATCGTTTTACTTGCTCTGTTAAAAGTGTGACTCATTTTAGCTTTTCTATATCTCGACTTAAAATGTATTGTCTTAAATTACATAACGTGCGTCAATGACACAATCTAGAGGTTGCTAATAATGAACTTAACTTGACGGAACTTTAATTAACAAGACGCCTGTTCAGGCGTTCACACTGGCCTGAAAATAACGAGATACGTGCTATGGTGCAAAAGGCAGGAATACAAATCTTAAACCGCATTACCGCAAGCGAATTTTATGGACTTTTTAAAAAAATAAAAGACCTTTTCGGGAGACGTAATGGAGATCGATGCACGTGCAAATCATGCCGATCTACAGAATCGATTTCCGGTTTTTCCTAACAGCGCGTTGTTTTCATGTGCGTTCCATGGGCCGCGCTAAATATATAAATATTCTGTAAATACCGAAATAAAAGACACAAGCTCGAAAATAACACTATAAATAGTGTTTTCGATTCTGGTTCCAATAACATTATCACGAAAAAGATATGTCCAAAGGGGCCGAAGTTATGTTCGGCAAAATGTATGGCTAGTTTACATTGTTTGTTGTATTATGAAATATGATACTATACTTGTATTAAAATTCGCGTCGAACTAATGTTATTGTAAATGAATAGACTTGCCACAAGTGGACCTCGAACGAAATGCGTTTCTTCGAGGTCGACTTGTGGCAAGTCTAGCAAATGAGAACCATACAAATGATACAATAATGGTTCTAGTTCTTGTTGGTATTTTGAACGCACGCTTTATCTTTAGTATAGCTACCAGAGCGCTTATATAATAGCTACCACAAAGCTTTTCGCGCGGATTATATTTCGTGGAGTACTAAATATTATATTTTGTGGTTTTCGAGTCATTACACAAAGAAAAACACATTAATTCAAAACGCAAGAAAGTCCAGAGTACGACACAACGTAAAATACATAGGAAACCGGCGAAACTGTGTAAAATATAGGTTGATCACTCTGTGAAAAGCCTCCATTGCAGTTCGGAATTGTGCGCGTGCGTACAAGTGTATAGGCTAATAAACGAAAAATGTACCACAAGCATGGCAGGAGTCGGCTATTACGTACATATATACGAGCTTATTACTATACTATCTAAATCATTGAACCGAGGGAATCGATGGCATTTTGGCTTAATGGTTGCACCCTGAGCCTGCGATGAGCTAACGCAAACTCGATTTCTCGACTACGAAAAAAACAGAAAAAGGGGGATTTTAGACACTTGGCCTTACAGGCCAGTGTAATTAAACTATAATACCTATAAAGTAATAAAAATGTCAACTGTTCAAAACAATACGAATAGACATAAATTTTCGAGTTTTCTACTAACATTTTTAAAGTTTTCATTGTGAATCACCTGTTTATCTCTAGTTTATTAATCATCTGCTCGTTATATTTATTTGATAGTGTCATATAGTGAATAATGCGATTACACACAAGCAATCCTGGATATGATATAGACGATGCAAGCTGCTGTCCATTAAAAAATAACGGTATTGTATTTCACAAAGCAAAAATTTAAATCTCACTTGTATATATTAAGAATGCATATAAAGCAAAAAATTAAAGCTTATTAAATGTCAAAACGAAAGTTGTTTACAAAATTTATAAAGGTCGTGCACACTACTAAACAGTGCTCATTGAAAGACATGTATAATATAGTGACATATAATTTGTCGTTTGACTTATCTTTGGTGTATGATTTTAATACCGTAGATTTTCAACAGACAGCTATACTTTTACATATACCATGATCGTTGGTTTCAGCAATGCCAAGGGCCAATTTTATAGTCTTTTGACGGGCTTTAAGTTTAATTTGATAAGGCCTTTTTAATAATATATAGATCAACAATCTGGATACAGGCGATATTTCGGAAATCAAAAGATCTCATTAAAGCATTGAAGCATCTCGCTATTTCGTTGCAATTTCACGTCTCATCAATAAATAAATTCTTTTGATCCGAGTATCAGGATAAACTGTAATACCAAATAAATAACAACCACACTGTTCGGTCTAGAGATATATATTTTCTTGTAGGTTTAATATTGCCACGCTGCACAAGCGGCAAGCGTGCTTTCTTTGGCAAGTCTATAATGAAATCTGATCCAACTTGCTTGAATTGTAACTCGACACCAGATTATAGAGTAGAACGTCACGATATAAAAATTAATTTAAGAGTTCTCTTTACGATTTCTTGTTGCAAATTGACAGTAAATTTCATCACCCAAAGTTGCAATTTTAAAACGCTACAAACACGCTCCTTTCCCACCCCTCTCACAGTTACAATTAAATTTCTGGGAGGCACGTGACCAGCCGCACCCAGGGTCTCTCCCAGATGACAGAAGGAGAGTCCCTGGAAACGAGGTTGGTTTGCCTTCCCCAATAAAATACTGACTTAGGGAAAGGCCTAAAGGAAACATATAAAACTAAAGAACTAACACGAAATGATAATCTCAAACCGTCCAAAACAAATTAAAATAGCAATTGGAATCCTTCCAGTACAGATTAAAATAACATTGTTAAATTAAATCTTCTAGAACAAATTTTAATTAAATAACAATCCGAAACCTTCTAGAACAAAATTCAAATAACAACTTGAAACCTTTTAGAACAACTGCGATACGTTTCCAACCTGTGTCCAGTTAGCCCGGGCGCGCGCCCGGTCCCACATTGGCCTGGAATCTAACTGAAACGGGTAAGAGTTCCGTGAAAAATGCTCATGACATAAGGGGAACATACCTGCGGGTTAAGTACTACTCATCAAGTAACACCACTCATCAAAGGCCACTCATCGGTAGAGAATGTTTTGGAGGTCACAAGTATATGTTTCATGCCATCCCTGTGCACACTCAGGTAATAATGATATGTCATTTTCTAATAGCCATACTAATGAATTTAGGTAAGATTGTCCTGCAAGTGGTTTGTTCTGACAAAATATCCAGTACAATTATTCATCATTGTTGTATTATAAATCTCTAAAAAATACAGCTCTTATGCCCTAACTATGGCTATATGCACACGGGCGTCGTTTTCCAGCGTTTTCAAAAACGTTTTTGTCCCTTTAATCGTTTTGACGCCCTATTCACACTGTCCAAAGGAAAATATCTCCAATATATTAAATAAACTACAGCTTCTGCTGTACGTTGATAGTGCTTGCATCCATTTTAGCGTGAAAACACGAAGAAAACGCTCGAAAACGTTACCGCGTGTGCACATAGTCTATTACAAATTACTTGCATGTTTAAACTGATTATACACTAGTACACTGAAAAGTGTTGATTATGATTCTTTAATTCTGAAAACTATGAAAGCATAAAAACACTTTGGTTCTGTAGTAAAAATATAACTTTCAAAAAGCTAAACTCCTCGAAATGAACATGTGCCTGCGAAAAGGCCGCTGTTTTCGCACTGACCTATATATGTAGTTCACTGCACGTGTCATGCACGGTCACGAGTTTAAAATACTAGACGCTGATTGGCTACAAGTGAACAGTGAACAGCGAACAGCGAACAGTGAACAGTGAACGGTGAACAGTGAACAGGGAACAGTGAACAGTGAACGGTGCACAGTGAACAGTGAACAGTGAACAGTGAGCAGTGAACAGCGAACAAGATGATAGCATTATATTTTCTCCTTTTTTTATACACCCTGTAGACATTGACATTGCGCTACTCAATAGACAATACAGTATGTTTCGTAAATATTTCGATTCCCAAAGCCAAAGGCAAACATATTTGTGAAGAGTTTAAATTCGTTCATGAATCAATCATGACATTACGAGATTTATAGCGAGGACATGTACATATATCAACGATAGTTCAGCATTGAAGCATGCATATAAACACGACGAGCCAGAGTAAAACGATTTTTATTTAAAATCATTAGAAGAAAATGGATCGCTAAAAAATTTTTATGGCCAGTCTGTTTTTGGGATTTGACCTTGAAGGCTGAACGACTAATTAATGTATTCTCTTGTGACTCTTAGCGTCTGGAGAAGTTTTAAGGTTACAGAACATCTTTGAGTGTTAATTTTGCCTAAATTTTTTTTATTGGTTTCGATGAAGGCATTAGACTATTTCTACTATCTGACCAAGTTTGAACGAAAAATTTTGAAAACTCGCAGAGTTATTTAATAAAATATATTTCGCTGCAATAAGGAAAACATTGAAAATGTAATATTCAAATTCTCCCGAAAAATTTTACGGTAATTACTGATTTTCAAACGAGTTGTGCTCCTGCGGGTTTTAACTAATTTTTTTCAAATTTTCACAGTTCATAGCTAAATACGCTAGCTTCAAAATTATGTTCGGCTTTTTTTTTAATTTTGGATATTTTAAAAATAAAGAGCAATTCACTCGAACAATTCAGAAATATATTGCAGTCGTCAAAGAAATCGCCATATCAGCGGAATGACGAAATAAACAAAAATTTCCGAACACTGTTTTTTAGAACAACTATTTTACTGTATAAAAATGATATTTTCATAAATATAACTTAAAGCCAGCAGGAGCACAACTCAAAAGCGTAAAGGTACCGCGACTTAAAATTTTCCTGAATAATTCTTACATTATTTTATTGTTTGTTAATTTTACAACTTTATCATATTTTGCATGCACTGGAGAACATTTGGTGAAAATTTGATGAAAATCGGACTGATATTGAGCGCGCAGTAGCGATTTTCCGCAAAACGCCAAAAAGGGTGTCCTGTAACCTTAAGATTCCAACATTTTCTGTGCAAATAGTTGGACATAATGTCTGCACGAGAATGAAAACTTTGTATATGCAAATATATTTTCGCACGATGCGATAGTACGTTAGGCAATCTCTAGACGATAGTGATCTACACGACTACACATGTTGACATAGCTTCAAATCGAAATTGTGATTAACTGACAACATGATAAAGTCTTTAAAATTCGCACATTTTACAAACAATATGCATATCTATGGTCTCATTTACACATATTACATGCGGAGCCAATCCGAATTCAATTTCTTACGTTTGCAAATTAACATAACTGAAAACACGTTCGTTTACGTGCTTCGGTGAATGTTAACTAATATGTTGAATATTGTTAACGTTCAGAAATTTCTGAAACTCCTTAACTCCTCACTGGTAAATTGGCTACCATTATCTGAAACAATATGTGTTCAGGTAGTCCAAAATTGCTGAAAATATGTCGTAAAGCTGTTATGGTGGTAGTTGAAGTAGCATTAGGCATTGGGACAATCTCAAGACACTTGGAATATAGGCGTCGACTACGACTAAGAACATTTTCCCTAGATATTGACTTGCGTAATCTATATGAATACGTTTCCAAGGGCCTCCAGGCCAAGACTATGATGCTTGTTGAGATGCATTTGGTGATTTGGCTTCTTCTTGACATGCCGTAGAAGCCTTAATAACTCTTTCTTCGATTTCCTCGTCGAGCTTAGGCCACCATAGGTATTTACGCGCCAACTGTTTCATCTTCACTATTCCGAAATGTTCGGCATGTAAATCCTTCAGTAGAATATCGCGTAATGATTCTGGAATTACAACTCGTGTGTCCCATAACAAAATTCCATCGTCATGTGATAATTCTAATCGCCTAGTATGATAAGATTGTAATTCAGGTTGTGGTTTTTCTGGCCACCCATTCTTCGTAAAATCAAGTACTTTACCATGGCAACCATTGTGGAATTAACAATTTTTTCTCCTTCGATAAACATGACGCGAACCTCTACCTGTTCCTCCGGAGTTGGTTGTATGTTAATAGGTTTCCTTGAAAGAAAGTCCGCATAGACATTTTCTTTTCCAGAAATAAACTCAATCATGTAGTTGTATGCTGCCAGAAGGGACCATCTCTTGATCTGTGCGGACGCTAACTGCGGAACTGACTTATGTTCCCCCAGTAAGGTTATCAACGGTTTATGATCTGTTAGGAGTTTAAAATGTCTGCCAAGTAAATACTGGCGGAATTTTGTAACTCCAAATACAATTGCTAACGATTCACGTTCAATTTGAGCGTAATTTTTCTCTGCTGTATTAAGAGTTCTAGACGCGAATGCTACTGGTTGTAATGAGCCATCGTGTCCCGGCTGGAGCAGTACAGCTCCAACTCCTATAGAAGATGCATCACACTGGAGTACCAGCTCAGCAGCTTGGTCGTAATGTCTTAATACAGAATCCGAACACAATGCCGACTTGATAGTTGTAAATGGTTCCTATTCAGTTTTACTCCATTTCCATGGAGTTCTTTTCCGAAGTAATTTGTACAAAGGTGTCATAATTCCTGCAAACCCTCGCACAAACTTACGCAGGAAATTTGCTGTACCAATAAAAGATTGTAACTCAGAAACATTTGCCGGAGGGGCGGCATCTTTGATGGCTTGCACTTTCTCCTTTGTTGGTGAAATTCCGGCTTCCGAGATTGACATTCCCAAATAAATAACTTCCCCGAGCATGAAATAGAATTTCTCACGCTTGAGTTTAAGCCCGCTCTCTGGTAATCTTTGCAGAACACGATGCAAGTTCTCCATATGAATCTCATCAGTTTCCCCTGTTACCAAAATATCATCAATCCGAACGCAACATCCTGGAAGACCTTTGAGTACATTTTCTATGGTACGTTGGAAGATGGACACCGCACTGTTTACCCCAAAAGTAATCGTTTAATTTGTACTGGTATAACCCATGATGCGTATTTATTGTTGTGTACTTCCTACTTTCAGGAGTGAGTTCTAATTGATGGTATGCCTGTGAGAGATCAACGGTTTCGTTTGTAACTCTTCAAATGTAGGTGCTGGATATTGTTCTAATGTAGCTGCCTGGTTAATTGTAGTATTGTACCAGAATAATTATAATCTTCACATATCGTTACATTGCTATCAGGCTTAATCACAGGAACGACTAGTCGGTGAAGCCCACTCCGTGTGCTCTACTTTTTCAATAATATCACCTTGGACTAGTTTCTCTAATGCTTCTTCGTATTTTATCCGAATTGCAAAAGGTACCACTCCGGGTTTCATAAACACTGGGTTATCACTCTGGGTTTCATAAACACTGGTATAAGTACAAATATGTTGTGTTTTTTACTATGACCTTGAAGACTAAGTTCAATAGTTTCTTGCATGCAAATAGTTGTTTACCTTTGACCAGGAAAACAGTACCCATCTTAGGTAATTCTTTGAGAGTTGTGGGAATCCTAACACAAGAAAATGAGATTTCTACATATGAACTGACTATACATGTAACAATTTGGGTAAGAATGAAATAACAGACATGCAGTTGGTCTTGAAGTTTGTTATTAGTAGTGCTGTTTCACAGCTTTTGTACTTGCCGCTTTTGACCAATAGCCCACTCAGGTGGCACATCTTAGTGCCGCTTGTCAGTGGAAACTACCAAGACATAATTCAAGGCTTGTATACATTTATGTTGATGCAGTTTACCGTTGTTGTGTACGATGGTTATGCCGCCTTTTACCAGCACCTCTTTTGAGTGCCATGTACATACAAGCCTCTCGTGAAAGGGGAGATGCATATAATTATGTGTATTTCTGTCATGCAAATTAATCGATATCTAAGTTTGTAACAGTTGAAATGTACTGGAAGGATATATATCACCTTACATAAAACAAAAAGAATTAAACTACAAAAGGCAACTCCCTGAAAGACTAAAGTAACAGACAGTTTGTCTTGAATTTTGTTATTAGTAGTGCTGATTCACAGCTTTAGTGTAAGGTGGTACTTGCCCCCTTTGACTTTGGTACTTAACGCAATCATAAATCAAAGGCCATTGAGGCAAAAATGCAATCTTAACAACATTTTTCACGAAGGCAAAAGGCACTTTGCCACCGAAATAAGGGCACTTTTGAAAACTTGGCGTGGGGGGGGGGATTGCCCACCCTGCCCCCTGGTCCTACGCCCTGATTCCAAATAATGCAACATGTTGAGCAAGGCATATTTTAACTTTATAACTACTGCAGGGCCATTTACCCCATGCAGTAGGCATTTGCTTGCCCCAGTAATGAAGCAATATGATCATAAATAAAAAGACTCATCCTTGAAGCTCAACCTCATTCACCTGTGTTTTCATATATTCTCTCGCATTCTCGACATCCCAGCTTATAAAAGTCAGCACACAGTGATTTTATGTGCGCTTAACTTTATGGGGGAAATGACCTTCACTGAGACTTCAGCTTCACTGAGCCCCAGTGGTCGTAATTTCTTTAAAAAATGCTCTGATATTGTTGGGAAAATAAGTAATTTATGATGATGGTGTATCGAGCGCAATATTTGGATTAGTGCTGCGCATGTCCATGATGTTGTCAACACTAAAGCTGATTATCACTGATTACGTATAGTACTATATATAGTTTTCAAACACCGTGTCGCCGGCATTAACGATATACATTATACGATATACATTATACGATATACATACAACCAGATTTTGCACGATCTGCATGATTAATTGTCTATATAGGCTGAACGCCAAGTTTCCATCATACGCTTCTTATCTACCTGATAATATTAACAGTAAACTGATTCAATTTCGAACTCACCTGCTGAGGAATGTTTAGGAGAGTGGTTCAGTCGAGATCGATGTTTTCGGTGGCGGCCATTATGAAGTGATTCGTACAAATTTCAGACAAAGATTTACATAAAATAATTAGCCGTAGCCGTGGTCAAGTTCAACTGACAACACTCAACAGGATTTATGTAAACTCTCGTAGTAAAACAAGCATGATCTACCACGAGATAATGGCGTGCATACAGAGTAACGTAAGATAATGGCGAGAATTTGCAAACAACAAACCTGGCTGTGTAGCACAAGTAACTGAATACAGTTAGCAGCTTTTTTGTCACGATGGCTGCAGTACACAGCCGGGGAGGGGGAAAGGGGGGCAACTGCCCCATTCCCCCTGAGAAAACTATATTTACGATTTTTAGAATGTCATTATTAATTATTCTTTGGATATTTGAGACTTTTTTCG